AAATAAGAAATCAGGAAGGGGGCAAACACTTTTTCACACAACTGTATTTTAAGTGCTTTTATCAGTGAACTATTTTCGACAGTCACATCTGAAAAACTGAATGCGCCAAGTTCAAATAATTCGGGGGGGGCGAGTCCGCTCGTTGTGCTAACCTCGGCACAGCGCACAGCAAATATAAGTATCCGGGCGGAACTCGCACTGCAGAGCTTTGGTTCCACTTTAACGTGCATCAATCTACACTCAACATTTTAGAAACGCTAAAATGGGTTACCAAATCTACTTTGGCGGACGTTAATATACCTGGGCGGCCCGCCCAAGTAAAGATTATGCACGGGAAACACTAAAATAAGCCCTCAGTGCTCCACTTATGACATGCGAGTATATATGCTGTGTACAGGGTCCGTAAGTGCAGTACTACAGCTTGAGTTAAATGTCTTAAGAGTGCTGTTTTACCACAGCTTGGTTGCTGATGCCAGGACCTCTTTCAGTTCAAACTTCCCATAGTGATTTGTTCTTTGTCTCAGTGAGGCTGCAAGCTTTGAAAGTTACTTTCTATGCGATTAGTGGACACGAAGACTTTAAAATCCAGGCTCTTTCTCACTATGTGTTTCACATCTATCAGGTCTTATCATCTAACCGCCAACCAGCGTCGGAAATACACGAGGGCAAAGGGCAAAACTGCCCCTAAGAAATATAATTTTGCCCCTGATATCACTAGGAGAGGGGCAAAAAATGCCCCCGAACTTTCTAAACGAATAAATAAATGGAGCGCTTCCTAATCAGACCTGTGACTGCGAGACTGCGGTCAACTCAGCAGACACTTAAATTGTAGTGCACCTATATCCTGAAATTCACGTTAAACTCATTCAAACGGCACAGATCGGGAACGAGCGAAGGACTTTGAAAGTTAACGGAAAGATTAACGTGAGACAACATCCGGTTTCTTCAGACGAACATCCAGTTTTCAGAATAAGATGCCAACAAAGTATACATATTGCACAATGGAAATTAGATTAAATGAATTATATTCACATTACGTATAAAACATGCTACCTGCATCTCGTGAGTTAAAGGTAAAATACACCTAAATTGTGCGTAAAGTCTCTTTATTCTTTGATTTGAGGGTTGCTGGAAATGAATAATACCTGACTGACAGTCAATTAAGATATTTTACTAAGTAAAAACTCTGAACTGAATTTGTACCTTCAAATGGCACATTTTTTTAATTTTTAAGGTGCTATAAAAATGTTTTTCTCAAAAATTCCACACAATGACTAATGCATAAGGTCAGGACAAAAATGGGTAATATCACAATATTTGAGGACTCGTTGGAGATTCGGTGACTTAATAATTGTTAATAGTTGTTTAAAAAATGTAATAATAACAATAAATAACAACAAAGAAATAAGAATAAAATTGAATATGATTGTCTGATTTATGTTTGTTTTTTGAATCTGTAGACTACTGCCTAATAGTCTTATTATTGCCATTTGATGACAATTGCTCATATACTGTAAGCCTAAATAAGTATATGTATTCTTTTTTTAACAAAGGTTAAATGTTATTTCACAAGTTTCAAAAAGTGCCCCCAATTTTTTGAAAATGCCCCTGGATTTCAGTCAGTGAGGGCAAAAATTGCCCCCAAAAAATATGTAAATTTCCTACCCTGCCGCCAACATATGATACAAACTAACTATGAAACAATGTAATACACAGATAGAGATCAGAAACAGACTCTCAAAGCTCGATAAAACCGGAATCTTGGTTGTTAAAATCCACATGGTGGATTAATGGCGAATGGATTAATGTTGTGTCTCCTTGAAGGACACTGGGTTGCTGTGGGACAGTGTCCACACTGATGAGGCGGTGTGTCTTAATGCCGTGGGATTACAGTAGCCCCGCGCTGCCAAACCGCAGCGTAGCGCTCTGCCGTCCTGCCAGGCCAGACCACAAGCTTCCCCAGAGGCACCACGGCAGCTGCTGTGACAGCCACGGCCTCCGACAGGGGAGGTCAACGTCCTCGAGTCAGACACACACACACACACACACTTTACACACTTATATATGTGGTCCAACTTTTTTTTGTTTGTTTTCTATCTGGTAGCGTTTGAAGGACAGAAATGTAAAACTTGTTTGTGCACATTCAAAAGATCTGTTAGGTCTTTCTTTTGGATGGCCTCTGATTCTTCCAATGAGTTTTTTTTTTTATTTCAGCCAAAGCTTGTTTGCTGTTTTGGTGTCTTGTTGTGAACTTGACTTTGGCATGTGGCACTGTGGTGGTGTGCAGGTAATAACCTGGATACACTTGGTCTTTATGGGTAAAGTATACGGTATTCAGTGCGGTAACATCTACCTGAGCTGCCAATGTACAAATTGTTATCAAATAACAACAAAGACTAAAGTGTATTGTTTTTATAACTAAAGTTGGTGCTTCAGTGGAAAATTGAAATGCGGTGTCACCTCAACAGGTGATCAGATGGATCAGAAGTGTTCCGATTTGCACGTTTGCACACTGCAAAAAGTTGTCTGCCATGTTCATTTGGGAAATACAGCGTCAGTGAAGTCAGTCTCAGGACGGTGACACTGAAAAAAACAGCTGTCTGTCAAAAGACTATTTACACACTCGCTCAGATAAAAATGCTAACAATAATTTCAGATTATAACATTCCAAATAAATCGTTCCTTTGCCCTTGAGGTAAAAATCACAAAGCCCTCTGGGTAAATAGTCAGAATGCATCATTTGGGGTGAAGAAGAACCTCTTGTTGTATGAAATGGAGCCAATTAATTGCTTCTCTACTTGGAGAATTTCAATCGGATCAGTTCAAATCAGTTGTTTCTCTATAAGACTGATGCAATAATAATAATGATTTACTCGACCCAAAACCAAACAGCAGTCACAACTTCACTGTTTACCAATGACAGCATTCAAAGGTGTGAGAAGTGAGTTTCTTTAGTTACAGAACACAGTTGCAGGATGTTGGACTTGTGTACTTGGTGCCGGTAAAAACAAAAAAGGTTTGTAATGTTTCAAATGTTATTTATCTTCTCCTTTCCAGGCTCACCTCTCCTCCTGTTCGCCAACCGGCGCGACGTGCGGCTGGTGGATGCCGAGGGCGTGCGGGGCGAGTCGGCCATCGTCGTCAGTGACCTTGAGGACGCGGCGGCGGTGGACTTCCTGTATTCCGAGGGTCTGATATTTTGGACGGATGTCAGCGAGGAGGCCATCAAACAGACGCACTGGAATCAGTCATCCAACTGTAAGGCCGTTTATTCTTCTGCTTCCTCATTAAACCAAACATTTACTGTAGCTACATGTTAAAGGGTTTTGGAGAAGAACTCATCCCCCCTCTTGCCACAGGTTTTTTCACACTGTGTATGTTTTGTGGTTGCAGCCCTTAAAGAAGCGCTGGGAACCAGCCAGACTGTGGTAGTGTCGGGGCTGGACAGTCCTGACGGGCTGGCCTGTGACTGGCTGGGCAGAAAGCTCTACTGGACAGACTCGGAGACCAATCGGATTGAAGTGGCCAACCTGGACGGCACCTCCAGGAAGGTCCTGTTTTGGATGGACCTGGACCAGCCCAGAGCGATTGCCCTCAACCCCGCTCAGAGGTAACAAAAACACGCTCTTCACACTACTCTAAGATAAGATTATAAATGTAGTTTATGAGTTTACAACATAAAGGCGACAGCTTAATCAGCCTGTCTCTCTCCGAGTTGGCGTGGATTGTTACATTTGTTGAAAATGAAAGCGTATCTGTTCTAAAAAGTTTTAAAATGTCACACAATCGTTGATATCCTCTGCTCTCGTGAAGATAAGGTCGCCTGCACCGGTAACAAACGACACACTAACACACTGACAGAATCTGTGTTTTTGTGTTTTTACCCGAGCTGGACCAGAAAATATTCAGCTAAAACTGATCCCCACTGTTCATCTGTGAAGTTTGCCGGAAGCGATGTAATGTAGCCCGGATGCGTTTTATGTGGAGTGAGCACTGCGCCGGACGTTTAAAAAAGATTGCCTTTTGAATGCTACGTAGTTTGTTGTTGGTTAGGAGGCCCTTTGGCCTTTTAATAGCCGCACAAAGAGCATGCCTTCTTTAAATTAACATTTTGAACTATAGTAGCAACACAGTGTAAACAATGCCGAAATATCGTTAGTAGCCTAGCATACTTGAGCTAAAGGTGCAGGGTGCAAAGATATGAGAGTGAATAGAGAAGATGGTGGGGGAGAAGGCCTGCTCCCTCCATGCTTTGACCTCACGCTGACCTCCCTTCTATCTTTAGATCAGATGATAGATATGTCGTTTACTTATGATTGTGTGTTAACAGTTTTCATGATGACATGGGGGACAGAAGTCTCCAACCATGACCTCTGCAGAGCTTGTCTGAAGACTGCTTTTAAATCAAGAGGTTCAGTGAGTCCACTGAGCTCCTTAGTTCAGGCTAAATGCACTGAACCCTTTCCTTATACTGCAATTAAACACTCTTTTATCCCGTATTGCTCAATCCTTATGGGTCTTTCGTACTGTAAACAGCCTGAATACCACGTCAGCTCCAAGACCAGTCCGATTGTACGGTTTACATTTATATAGATTACGATAACCACAGGGTGTGTCTGTGTTTGGAGTTGTTGGCATATCTGCTGGTCACACTGTAACTGAAGCTGGACGGGTGCAGGGCAGGCGGGAGAGAAGAGGAAGCCCTCAGTGAAACTATGCAGTTCAACCACTTCATTTAAGTGAAAGTTACGACCCCAAAACTGTCCTTTTATAACGGCTCGTGGTTGCCGCGTAAAATGTAGGTACAGGAACGAAGACAAATAAGATCCAGGTTGTTCTTGTCCTTTATATCAGTATACAGTAGAGCAGTGGCGGGCTGTGCATTTTATACCTAGGCCTTCACTTTTGTCCTGCAGCTGAAATACCACCTTATAACCACATGATGGCGCCACAGATATGATCAGTTTCTAAGGCTGTAACTATGTACGTATTAAATGTACGTAAATTTCGGTACGAGACTTGCAATACGTTTGAATAGTACTAGAGCATCTGGGAAATGCAGAAGCTTATATTCAGGAAAATATAATGTTTTCTGCGCTCATGGAGGACAGTGGTTCTCAGCTGGTCTGGCTGTGGGACACACCATCACTCCTTAATGACAAGTCGTGGCCCAAAGAGATCGTCTTATGATTTTACTTTCACAACTTAAGCATTGTACTGCTCTGCAGTGTCTTTCCTCGTCTCAGTCCCCTGTGTCACGGTGTGTGGTACATCTCACTCAGTCAGAATGCCCATATTTGATTGGCTGAGCTGCATCACGTGATGTGATTCACTACCCGACATGCCTCTGCTATTAAGCTTCGTTTCACGATAGTCACGTGCTCGCCCACTGACCAATCACAGCACACTCTGCACCTCGCGGCAGACACTGAGCTGCACTAATGCTGACGTCATTATAGGTCGGCGAGCAGGCTCTGATACGTCAAAGAATACGCCCAACAGAGCGTGCATATATACAAGGTCACCATAATCAGGTGCTGGTCCACGGCCCCAGAGCCTCCTTCACCTTGGGCCTCGTCCAAGCCAACCCTCTGTCTCACTGCAATAAACACACACGCTTTTACAGCCCACGTGAGCACCACATGTGGATTAATCCGCAGCTGAAAATAGTCCCCATCAAATGCACTATTTTTTTTTCCTTTTGAATAACGTTTGATAAAAGCTGCAGTGACCAGCTGTTTTAGGAGTTTACTGAGGCTTTTTAGAAGTGAAACTACCGGCCTATATTGTATATGTGAGGCGTTTTGTTTAAGAGTTACGTTTTCAGTAGGAGCCGATTATTGACATTTGGTTTTGAGGTTGTTTTTTGTTGCCTAAATCTGATCAAATTGCTGTAAGAATAAGTCGTTTTCAAACATTTATCTTTCAAGCCAGGTTTATCTACTTTGAGTCTATCGATTTCACTCAAGATAGTCAAAGTTCAAATTAGTTAAGGACAAGTTAAGTGCCGCTCAGTCAGTGTTTAGCCAGTTATATTCAAGTCAACTTCAGTTGTGTTTAAACCAATGAAATCAAATCCGCTCAAACCAAATGCGAGTAATTTCAAAAAGTTATTTTCGCGTTAGTTCAAGATAGTGCAGTCGACTCATGCATTTTCGGAATCAGTCACACAAATACAATCACAGCACCTTCTCTCTCTCGGCTTTCCTGCTCTGTAATTGTCGTGTGTACGTTGCCGGCCAAAGGAATGCAGATCTCATTCATTGATTCTGAAACTATGGACACAAACACATAACTGTGTGTGTGTCTAAGAAAGAGAGCTAGACACACACGATACCACGGCATTTAATAAGTACCATTCAAACCAAAAAGACATCGGTTGTCTGACAGGCTGATTTATTGGGCTTCAATTTATTTGACTTTAACTTGATTTAACTGGAGCAGAGCAGAGCCGGAGTAGTTTTACTGTAGATATAATTTATGGTTTGGTAAAAACATATCTCTGGTACTACACCTATTTACCGGTATATCCACTTTCTTTTCTATTTTTTTTTATCCTCTCAATCTGTTCCCCCTGAAATGCGTCATTTATTGAGAAGCGTTATTGTAGTGACAATAGATTCATGGACCGATCATAAAATAGAGAAAATGACAATAAAATGACGTGTACATGAGAAACAGAGATGGAGGGAGAAGCATTGGAGAGGTAAACAAAAGCATTTGAGATATGTAGATACGGTGGAATAACAAAGAAAAAAATCATTTCAAGTTGAAAACAATTGTAAGATTTTGTCTTTCAGTATCATTAGCTGAAGGGTTAGCATGAATCTCTCACATGAGGAAGGAATCAGGTTAGGGCTTGATTTTGCTAATGAAATAATCAGATTATTACTTTGATTAATCGATAATTAATCTGCTAAAAAATAACTAAACTTATTCCTCATGTTCTTATTCAACACATTTACTACACATTGGATTAAAATGTAGTGAGGATAAAACCATTACCAGTTTTAACGCATTGAGTCGCACCAGTGTCGGACCATCTCCGGGGTCGGGGCCAAACTGTGCAGGAGACCAGAGAGACAGACGTTTAGCTCTCAGCTCTTCTGCAGCTTCTTTCTGAATCTCTGTGGTCTGAAGTTCAGTTTGTCTCCTGCGTCCTTGATTGTGCTTTATTTTTACTGCCTCGCTTTCAGCTGTATAAGAGTCCTCACTGATGATGAAAACCCAACACTTACCGATTGTTGCTGCTTCATAATAAAAGCGTTTGGATAGTAAAATAACAGGGGACTTTTCTTGTGAAGAATTTGTAGGAAATTAAAACGTATTTATCGGCAAAGTAGCGGAGCTTTGTTAGCGGCTATTCATCGATAAAACATGTCCACTAATACTGCAGCGAGGAAGAGTGAGCAGCAAAAATGAGATTTATTCAAATGTGTTTATCCAACCGAGTCGAGCCAAGCCAGCACACACGTATGTACGCAGGGTTATACTCACCTCTAAATGGCTAAATGCAGTTTGTTTCATTGACATATTTCTTTCCCTACAGCTACATGTACTGGACAGACTGGGGGGAGGAGCCCAGGATAGAGCGTGCTGGAATGGACGGCAGCAACAGGTACAGCAACTGCATGACCCTTAAGCACAGCTTCTGTAGCCACAGTGATGTTTGTAGAGTACAGTATCCTCCAGTGCAGCCAGATGTGCAGAAGCAGTACCAAGTTCTACAAGAACGCAACAAAGTGAAAGCAGCAGTTGTACGATCATGGCCTTCTGTCTCTTCACAGGAAAGTCATCGTGGTGGTGGACATCTACTGGCCCAACGGTCTGACCATAGACCTGGTGGAGCAGAAGCTGTACTGGGCAGATGCCAAACTCAGCTTCATCCACAGAGCTAACCTGGACGGATCGGCACGGTGCGGCTCCTTTTTGTGTGAATTCAGACAAATATTCTAAAGAAAAAGCTAATTTTAACAAGCTACACTTAATGGTAAATACCTGTAATCATAAACAAACTTACATTAAGGGAGAGGAGGGGATATTTACAGATATGGTTCAGTTAAACAACACACAGAGAAAAGTGTAATGACATGAGACTATAGCCTGGCTGTAGAGTTGGCTTCAGGCCTCATCCCTTTCCTGCAGCATACATTAAAGCCAGAAACAGATGATATGAAATATCTTCCCCCAGACGACCAGAATCAGAGCGCAGGGGCGATGCTGTAGCAATAATGATGCTAGCAGATATATTTGCAGAGAGCAGCAAAGCTCTGGCAAAACAGAGGGGGAGCGTCTTTACTTTTTTTTTTGTACACCTTAAACTACTTGAGTCTGAACTTGGTTCGACTTCACTGCCTTCATGGCATGTTTCTCAAAAACTCTTGTCAGTGCATAATGCAAAGAAAACAGTTCTATGAAGATGAATTAAGACTTGGCGGTCACTCATCATCAACATCTCATTTTCTTCTAAATGCAGGAATCATGCATTCCAATAATGTATAAGAATGTAAGAGTAACTGTGTGTGTGTGTGTGTGTGTGTGTGTGTGTGTGTGTGTGTGTGTGCGTGCGCACCCATGCACTTTTGTCCTGGCAACAGACATATGCTTCCTCTGTGACTCTGTCATAATGCCGTGAGCCTCACAGGGAGGGTGTAACGCGGGAAAGTGGAGCTTTCAGTATGCTGTGTGCGTGACTTCCTCTGTGGGTGCCCCCGTGCACTGTACGCAACGATTAACGTGCACATACTCGCGCGAGCCGCTCTCTTGTCTGTGCGGGAGCTGGATTCCAGGGAACAGGGAGGCTGCTATAGAAGAAGAATGCAGAGATAAAGCTGAACATGAAGTTCTGTTGAGTTTGGGAGTCGAGAATTCCTCGTTGTCCAACTTCTTGGAATCGCATGCCTCTGTGACTATTGATTCCTCTTATTGATGCTTTCCGACAGTTGCCATGTGCACGCTGTATCGTGCTGTTCAAAAGCGAGGCGCTGACAAACCTGATGAGGATGAACCCTACAATGTGAACAACAGATCACTGTTGAACTCGGCAGGAGTAATTCTTCCACTTATGAATAATTTGTGTTGCGTTCTGAGGGTATCATCACCACACTGGTAAGCCCACACTCCCCTTTTTGGTCCAGTCCATAGACTGTATATAAGAGGTGGACGTAGTCATCGTGACGTCACCCATTGGTTTGTGGACAGATGTTTTGAGGCCTCGAGTTTGTCGATCTCGCCGTCGCCATCTTGGCTTTTTTTGCAACTGATGGACTGAAGTGATCATATTTGGAATGTGGAGGAGTGACGTGGAGACGCCGGATACGTCTCTGGTAGCAGCAGCGACCTGTCAATCACAGTAGGCCCGCCCTAAACATACCCTGCTTTATGGTCTATTTGACTCTAAATGGACCATAATTTACTAAATGAACATCATGCTGTATTGAAGAAGACTTGAAACTAGAGATTGAGATCATAAACTCATGTTTACAATGTTTACTGAGGGAATAAATCAAGAGAGAAGTAGAGTCATTTTCTGTTGTCTCAGGTATCAGCTGCTTTTACCGACAAACTTACATTGTCTGTTTGATTAGGTGGGAATAAAATGCACAAACTTTACAGTTCAAATTCAATTTCAAGATCCCCTAGTAAAACTTGAACGATTTTTCGCCCCGTTCGACTTCTTCAGAGAAAAGGGAGGAGGGGAAGAGAAAAATAGCTGCACAGACAGAGTGAAAGAAAAATGGAGAGTATGAGAGAGTTGTCCAACACAAACAGAGCTGTGATATGGAGGCCCCAGTAAAAACACACACACACAGCACCACACACACTCTCTCACAGCTCAATCTGGCCTTCTCTCCTTTAGTCCGCCCATCAGCCTTCTTTCTCCACATCTTATCGTTCGCTCTGTTTCAGAACGTTCCAGATCCGACCTCGTAAGATTGTGACTTTTAGGTAAAAGTGAAAAGTGTTCAATCAGCATGAGATTAAAGCAGAGCTTATTTTAGCTCATTATTTAAAGGCGACCTATCATGCTCATTTCCAGGTTCATACTCGTATTTTGGGTTACTCCTAGAATGTGTTTACATGTTTTAACTCTGAATAAACATGCATTCACTCTGTCTGAAACGCTCCGTTTTAGCCATAGAGATTAAGAAAAGGAGTAGAAGCAGACATTCCCATTCAAATCGTTGCAATTTTTATGTGTACCGTTTCTATTGTGACCGTTGGTCGTGCGCCAAGTTACAAAAATTCAGAGGTGCACTACCAACTTCATGAAGATCGTCGTTTGAGTACATGTAATGTTACTAAGCGTAGAGAGTAAAATGTAATAACTTAATGTTTCATCCACAAACTCTTGACACAGCGTAGAAAAGAACACTGCTATCGCCAAATAAGTGACATTTAGTACGACTCATTATCTCTAACCAGTGTAGTGTAGCTAGCCAACTTGTGGACAGCTGGCTCGTTAGCGTGCTTGCTTATTCTAACTTTTTAAAATATCGGCCCTTTAAGCAGTCTGTAACGTGGTGAGTCACAAATGACTGTAAAGTCGGCTGTTCTCTTGGAAACTACTGCCAGTGTAGCGTAATGTTACCTGCAGCTAATTAAATTAGCTTGTGACAACACGGCGTAGAGGTTGGATTAAACCAAAATTCAGTGGAAATGTATTCACGCTGTTGGAAAAATGGGGTATTCTCAGCCAGCGACTGTTCCCACTATCACTGCTATCACTACATAGACTAGCTCGATGCTGCACAACACCGTGTTGTTACGTAACCACAGCACTCATTGTGTGTAGGTATGTTAAGATGATAGGATATTTGTGCAGCTCTGTTAGAGGGGGGGGCTTTAATGTGAATATACCTGACAGCTTGAGTAATACAATTATTTGCCTGTTTTCCAATTAATTTGCACACACACACACACACACATTCAAAAGCTGAACAGAGCTTTGAAATCTGGAGTTGGTTAAATTTGTTCTTTCTTTTTTTTTTCTTAACCACTGCTGGCAGCCTCCTCTGCTTTTACAGCACGCACGCGCACACACACACACACGCACATACACACACACACACAAAATGATGATTGATGAAAGCCAGTTTCTGGTGTGTTGATATTCTAAATACAAGCCTTCTTTGATCCGGCGCCTAAGTGAGTTTGTGCGAGTGCATTTTGCTGTAAGTGATTCCTAAAGTGTGTTTTTAGAAAAGAACACACACTTCTCCAGCCGTCACGCTCTTTGTAATTGTTTGGCCCTAAGGTTTGAGAGAGGGAATACCTTCTCCAAAGCTGCACAATCTTCTAAATGTGTTGCCTTAATAATACTTGCCGTCCACATTGCACTGGAATGTGGTCGAGATATTCACGGTCCAAGAGGGGTGATTACTATTGGTTCTCTGGCCTTTTTCCTTGTGCCACCATCAGGTCAAACTTTCACTTTTGCACAAGAAATCTAATGATCAGATCATAATAAATTGTAACGAACAAATGTGTGCACCCCCAGAGGGTAACGCCTTTACATTTCAATTATTTTATTTTCAAAGCTTTTCTTGAAAACCACCCTCATGCCAAAATGTTCTGCCAAGAGGACACACTCTTGTGATTTTAATGACCTAATGGCTTTCCTATACTGCCACCCTCATGACACATTTGACCCTTATATTTAAGCTTCACTGCTGATGAGCCCAAATCCTCTGTTTGTTGTTCTCCAACACCATTGTTTTGTGTTGTTTAATGAACATTGCGGTTTAGGGGTGAATAGAGGGGCTTCAGACTTTTAGGCCTCTGGTTTTCTTCCAGAACACAACCAGTAACATTGCAAATACAGTCACAATGCTGTTTTGTTGCAAGTTCCTCAAATAGCTTCTTGAGGCTGGCTCCAAGAGTGAGTCAATCCCCATAGACCCTCATGTTAAAATGCCCAACTTTACAGCAGAAATAAACATGTTTACAGCCTGTTTATTTTGAAAACACTCTATTTCAATCCAAATTGTGCCTTTTATTCAGCCATTGCAACAAAAACGTGCAATATCCGTGCAATGCACAAGTCTAACAAGTCCATTTACCATTTAATATATTGATGACAGTCTTATGTAAACAAAGACGCATGTAACCACAACGGACAATATCGAGGTCAGCAAAAATGATCACGGTTATGTCCATATATCGGACAATAAGTCGATAACGTAAAATTGGTCGAGGTCATGTCCATATATAATACAATAAGTTGATGATCTGTGAATATCGTGACTGACCTTATTAGGGTATTGGATAAAGCCTCATTTTGGTGTTGGTAATGCGACCCATACTGGCACCGTTATCCAACCATTTTAAACGTTACCCAGCCCGAGGTGGGTTGAGTGGTAAAGCTGAGCTTGCGTTTCGGCTGATCGGGTAGCTCTGCATAATTCTGATACTGGCTTTGACGGGATAATGCTGCCTTGTCTTACAACTAACTCATGCGCAAATTGCAATTTTTGTGGATTAAGCGGACAGCTCTTTCTGGTCTTCAAAATTGTGAAGACGGTTTGCTCACAACTGTGTGCATCTAAATGATTAAGGAATATACGTCTCTTATTGTGATGTAATTTAAGAGCCATTAAAGTAATAATCCATGGCAGACAAGTAGCATTTTGTAATAGGATTCTCTACACAACACACAAGCCACCCTCTGATTCTCAAGACTCTTTCATTGTGTCCTGCAGTGAAACAGTGGTGGAGGGCACCCTGACCCATCCTTTTGCACTAACACTGTCTGAGGAGACCTTGTACTGGACCGACTGGCAGACCCGCTCCATCCACGCCTGTAACAAACACAGAGGAGACAAAACCAGAGAGATCCTCAGTGGGATCTACTCTCCCATGGACATCCAGGTCCTGGAGTCCCATCGGCAGCCTTACAGTAAGTCAAATGTTGGGTTTATGTTTAATATACAGTACAGCACACATGCATGAAGCTAATCATATCTTCTCCATCTCTTGTCTCTTCTTCTTTCTCTCTCTTTCTGTGTCGACGTCAATGCAGTCCAGACTCCCTGCAGTGACGACAACGGAGGCTGTAGTCATCTCTGCCTACTCTCTCCCGTCCAGCCCTTCTACAGCTGTGCCTGCCCCACGGGAGTCCAGCTGAAACCAGATGGAAAGACATGCAAACCAGGTATGGATCCTATTTACATCAGTATGACTACTAATGAATGGCAATCCCTAAGAGAAGAGTTATTTTCAAACTGATTGACTTCTAGATGTTGAAACCCCAAAAGGATTCGATAAGATGCTGAAGTCAGATTTGACACATTCTATTGAAACCCAAATTACTGGAAAGGACAGAGAGAGCAAAATGAAGACGCTATTAAGAACAATTTTGTGCTCAAGTAAACAATGCAATCACACTGACACAGCAAAATAGTCCCACCTACAAAGCGTGGTTAACAAGACGTGGGCTCCGTGTTTCAAGATGGGTCGGTGGGTTGCCGACATCGCCGCAGAACCCCTCGCACTGAGGACACTCCGTTCCGGTTGACAGTCTCGCCGGGAGCCCCGTCCACCCCTGCAGGGAAAGAGGGCGCAGTGAGCACTAAGTCCACGGCCCCATGAAGTGACGAGATCTGGGCACGGGGTGCGGTGAAGCTTGTGTCCGGAGCCGCAAGCTGCTTTCCCCCCTTCTTAAGCCTACATACTAGAGCCGGTCACGGCCCTCGGCCAGCCAGCAGCCAGGGAGAGGATCCCCCCTATCTAGTTTATAGGTAATTAACAGGAAACAGTGGATTAGTCGGGGGAGTTTATTATTTTTTTTTATCACGGAAAATAAGTTGTAGAATGCCGTAGGAGGGTAAAGATAGATCGATGTATCGTTTCAATAATCGACGACCCAATATCATCAATGCTAAGTGAAAACATCGATTCATCTTTAAAATAAGGCTTTTATCTTGAAATTACCAAGACATGACTTGTGTCACCATTTCCTCCTGCCAACAGAGCCCAGTATTCACATTGTCAAATCATACTTTAATTGCTTTTTGTGAGTTGATATTAATGTAACTGATTGTGTTAAATAGGCAGAGGATATTGATCGCAGGTCTCTGAATGGAAATTGTATCCTGGCAGACTTTTTACATTGGGTTTTGCAGGATTATACAACATTTGTATCAAATACAAATACAATTGCCTTTTTATAATGTGTCCAAGGAAATGACGTGTCGTCAGTAAGCATCGTATCGTTGTCCAAAGACTCAATACGATATGGTATCGTGATGATTTACACCGCTAGCTTGACGTGTTTTGTTAATTTGCTGACCTGCCGATGCTGAAAGGATGCACGGTGCAGCCCTAGCTCGCAGTGGATTCACAGAGTATCTCGTATGTGGCCATTGTCTGCGGTGTGTACTGTCGTGTCCCAGCGTAGAGCGCATCAGCTTGAGAACAAGTAAAGAACGACCTCTCTGCTAGCAGAGTGGGTCACTGACTGACTGACCGGCCCGCCATGTTGATTCCCACGGTGCTAAAACAATAGAGCCTTCTTCTGCAAAAAACACAACACTGTGCTGGAGCGCCTCTGTGTCGGTTAGGCTGCGTTATGTGAACGTATTCAATTTGAACGAAGCATGCCAACCAATCACTTAGCCACTGTTAACAATAAAAAACTACAATGCTCTTGTGTGTGTGTGTGTGTGCGCGCTTCTAATTTGTTTTGCTTCGCTGGTTAAATTGAGGCCGTTTGTTATTATGCTGGCAGCAGAGCGTGTGTGTGAGTGAGAGTGAGTAAGAGACTGTTTGTCAGAGGTCTTCAAGTGTCTCAGAATGAAGTCGAGTGAAGAGAAGAGTGGAATCACAGATGCTTTCCCTCCTTCTGTTATGGGGTAGTGTAGTTGGTGGACCCAAACGCACGCACACACAGCAGTTTTACTCCAGCCAAGACTTTATTTAAATGTGCAGGAGGAGTCAAAGAATGAACAAACAAAAAACAAAGACTAACTGTCCAGCAAATTAAAGTCACTCCTCTTTCTCCACCGGAGTCGGGAGGGAAGCTCAACCGAGGCCGGGACAGAATAGCCTCCGGAGTCGGGAGGGAAACTCGACCGCACTCAATACTGAAGGAACAGAAAAACAAACGGATTACGATCTTCACTGAATCGGTGTTCAGACTTACGCGACCAGACTGGTAACCGGACGGACTGACGACGCGCCGGTGAAACGCCGAGGTATTTAAGTCAGCCAGCGGCGATCACTGGAATGAGCCACAGCTGAGCCTAAGGAGAGAGGCGTGAAGTGGGCGGAACACGGGGGTGGAAACTGTAGGCTGACACAAAAACAAAACATAAGCACATGGCCCACAATAACAAAACAGACAGGGGGAAAAACAGAGGAGCACAGAGGAGCACAAACTAGGAGCAGACAGGGATCCTAACACCTTCCCTTTTCATTCTTTCCCTTCATTTACCCCCCCTCCCTCGCCTCAGTCATTTAGGTAACGACGGAACAACTTTCAATGTCAAATCCGATTGGTGCCAAGGCTGAGAGATGCCAGATTTTGATTGGTTGTGAAATTACAGCTGGAATGACATACAGAGAAAGATTTACATGATTTGTAGAACTATGTGTTTTTTAAATATCTTGAGCTATTTGACATTATTTTAGATATTGGCAATTATGTACTATGTAGTTTATAATGAGGGCACAATTTAACTACAGATAATTTATCCTCTTTGTAGATTTTTATAAAATTGTACTAATTTAAATCTCTATACAGTCGCGGCTTCATCTCTGAGATTCAGTTGAATCGGCCTTAAATGTGAGACGAGAGAGAGGGAGAGGGCAGGGAATAGAAAGAGGGAGACACACTTTGAACTGCTTTAAATGGGAGCTCTTCAGAGTCAGAGGTGTGAGAGACAAAGAAGAAAAACAGTTAATTGTCTCCCATGAGGGGAGATTGGCTGTTCAATCCGAAACCAACAGCTAAAACACAGTGAGGATCCCTCAGGACAGCAGAGCCCTTTGTTTCCAGACTGGAAGGAGCAACGAAAGGGATGAACAGAAGAGCTTGATTCACACTTCAAATCTTTTTCGCCACAGACAGACAGATGTTTTTGGAATTAGTGTCTATGACTTTATTTGTCTGTTAGGCCGTTATTATTATTGTTGTTATTATTAGGCTATATTGCAGCTTTTTTTCCCACCGAGGCTGCTCGGTAATTGTTACATGTAGTGTTCTCTCTTCTTTAGGTAGGGGTGGAAAGTAACTAAGTATGTTTACTCCAGTGCTGTACCTAAAGGTGCTAGATTCAAAATTCAGAGCATTAATATAGCAGCAAACAACTATTAGCTATGTAAACATGACATTGCTGCGCGTTCCTTTTAGTGCATCCCTCACAGCCGCCGCTATGCACTGCGCTCCACGGCTCACAGCCTCCGCTATGCACTGC